AGGGGGATGATCGCACCACGTTGTGTTAAATTGATCAAGCACCCTCGAGGCAGTTACACAGCGCTTATAACTGTTACTGGAAGTGAAAGCACCAGAAAATAAAGTAATTCATACGCAGCTGTCATCCGTACGCAAGGAAGTAAGCACAAGATGCCGAACACCCTTAGCAGGATGCGGCGCACCCTTCATGCGACTCACCGAATTTCTTACGGCGCTTCGCGCTTGGTGATGTGAGAGCCTGGTCCGGTGAGAACCCGGCGTGCTCCGTCCCGGCTTTGTAGGGATGCGAGGTCAATGGTCTAACGACTACGGCATGCACGACTATGAGTACAAACAGCCCCCCCCCCCCGGATTGGCCCCTACCCCAGTTTGGGGCAGTTCACCAAAACTCCTGCTTACGCGTGAGAGCCCCTCTTGTCCGCCCTACCACACGCGCTCTCACTCACTCGGCGTCGAGGTGGTTCGTCGGCTCGTCCAGCAGGATGACGTCCGGCTGCTCCAGCAGCAGCCTGCAGAGGGCCACGCGCCTCTTCTCCCCCCCGGACAGCTGGTCCACCGGGGAGTCTCCGGGGGGCACTCTCAGCTTCCTCATCGCGATGTCCACTCGGTGCTACAACAAATGTTGTGTTGGTTCAGAAGAACAGCGAGAAGGAAAACGTTGTTGTTGAGGGTGGGCACTTTGAGGGTACGTTAGGTTTAGAGTTGAATCTGAGGATAGCTCGGGTGGGTTGGGCTGGGCCGGGCTAAAACCTGCACATGTGTGTATGCGCCGGGAAAGCGAAGACCTGCCACAATCTCGCAAATAGCTGCTATCATGGTAAGTGTGCACCGTTCGGTTCCAGCCCAGTCTCACGCCGAAAGAACAAAACCGCACGAACAACATGCGTGAGTGCTCTTCCTTCCCCCCACTACATGTGAGGTAGGTGCACGGGTCCAACCATCTCCGTTGTCTACACATGCGAAAAAGTCTTCTGCTACGCTTGCTTCCTCGTCTGTGTACTTGGTAGGTAGCCCCACCTGGAGGTTCCAAGCGTCGGCATCCTCTATCTTGGCCTGCAGCGCCGCCTGCTCCTCCAACAAGGCGTCTAGGTCGGCGTCGGGGTCGCCCATAGCAATACCAGTCTCCTCGAACCTCGCCACCAAGTCCTCCTAATTATTCCAGTTTATGACACAGGGAGGTGAGGCCAGAAGCACAGGAGCCCCAGACATCGATCGGGGGGGAGGGGGGGTACTCTGATGTTTTGCGTGCCTTAGCTTTTAGACCATTGACCACGCGGCCTTGAGAGAAGGAACATTGTTCCCACAGGGTATCGGGGGGGGTGGAGAGAACAGGACCGAAACGGTCGCGCGATGATGTACAGCCGTGATATCTTCTCTTTGGTGGTCACCACGCACGTACATCGTTGGAATCATTATTAATACTAGAATCGTCACCACAATCCCAGAATCTACTAGGGTGGTACCACGAGAGTTAAAAACAACGAAGAATTCCACGATATTTTGTGTCGTGGTCCCGAAGAAGCTTGGTGGTGCGCTTATCTACGCCCATCACGCTGCGCAAGTAATATGCATGCGTGCCTTCGAAGCACTGCCGTAGTGAATACGATGGTAGTCTGCAACGTTGTCCCATACTGCGTTATGCTCCTACACCAGCAAGGTGCACACCTGCTCGGCGATGCCACGGCGTATGTTGTCCATGACGTTCAGGGAGGAATCGAGGTCGGGTTCTTGGGGAAGGTACTTGACACGGAGACCGTCTCGCGTCCACATGTCGCCGTCGAACTCCTTGTCTGCCCGTTTCAAACACAAAACACGCACATGTCACAACTACAAGCAATATATACCAGACGACGAGCGATCAGCATACAAAGCTTCAGGGGTTTAGACCGAAACACTCACACGTCACGGCAGTACACCAGTATATACAAACCAGACGCCGAGTGAAAAGCAGTGTACACAGCTCCCGGGTTGCAGGAGAGGGAGAAAGCACACTGCTGCACGATTCTCTCCGTTCCACACCTTGGTCTTTTCCTTCCGCGTTTTCACACCACTGCCTTGCCCCCCCTCTTTCGAACACCTCGTTTTTCGGCACAACAACAATCAAGGCGAAGGCTCACACATAGCCAAGAAGAACGAGGTGCTGCTGTAAGTCTGCGAAGCAGCAGGTGGCGGAAATGCTGTGCACACTACTGCTGCTGTACACCACCCGCAGTACTTGCAGCGTTGACGACGCAAGAAAATCAACCGAAACCAAAGTAACTACCGCGGTAGAGATGTTTGCAGAGCGCACATTTCTGCAGCAGGCACTATTTTTTTCAGCGCCTGCTGCTGACGACATGACGCTGACCTTCTCCGGCGATGATCTTGAGCACGGTGCTCTTCCCGCTGCCGTTCACGCCGAGCACGCCGATCTTGGCGCCCCTCATGAAGGTCAGGCTCGCGTCGGCAAAGAGCTGCCTGCCCCCCGGCAGCTGCTTAGAGACTCCGTCCATGGTGATGACCGTCTCCGTCGTCTCGGTGCTGCTGCCGTTGCTCGGCGCCGCCGCGGCGGGAAGAGGAGGAGCAGCGCTGGCCGCTCGCTTGTTCCTGCCCTTGTTTGTTCTCGAGCTGAGCGGCCTGATTGCGCCGCACCCATCAGCAGCACCACCGATACCGCAACTACTGGCGTTGTCGCACGCCCTCGGGTGTTGCTCTCGCGGCAAGCCAGAGAAGGAGTGTGCTTGGCCGAGCTTCCATCGGTGTGGTTGTGGTTGTTGCCGCTGTTGTTGTTGTTGTCGTCGTCGTTGTTGTTGACGGCTTTGTTGCGCGCAGCAGGCGGCTGTCGTGATGTTGTTGACGTTAGTGTTGTTGGCACCGACGACAGCAGCAGCAGCTTCGCCGTCGCCCCAGCGCCGGCGCAGCAACGCGCTTCCCAACGGAGCGTAACTTCGTTGTCTCATCGGTAGGCTGCCGTGTACACGCTGCACTGTTCTCGTGGCAGTCCTGAGCGGAGCAACCAACGACATCATCATCGCTCGTACGTGTTGGTGTGCCAAGCGGGAGTGCGCCATCATGCATCCGGCGGCGGCCGGTTGTCCCGGGGGCGGGGTTGAGATATTTTCAAATCGATAAAATATGAAGAGGCGTTTTTCGCAATCAAGGAGGCCTTCTAAAAACAAGAGCCACGGTTTGTGCGCCTGCCGAGACATTGTAGGTTACGAAGGACGCATATAGAGGCCGGCGCGGCGGCATGGCGGAAGATCCATTCCAGGGATGGGACGGAAGCCAAGGCGGAGCTGGCACGGTGGACCCATTTGGCGAGTTCCCTTTTCAGATGCCGACGCAGCAACCACAGCAGCAGCAGCAACCGCAACGGCAGCAGCAGCAGAAGCAATTCAACGCCCCCCGAGACCCTGCTCCCCTTCTTCGTCCTCAGCAGCAGCAGGATTATCTAGCACCGCCGGCAGGGCCTGGCGGAGCCAGCAACACGAGCTTCATGCCGCCGCCGCACGGCGGGGGTGGAGCTGATCTGCCCGGGGCGAGGACCAGCAACAACAACAGCGGCTTTCCGACGCCGGCGACGCAAAACCCGTTCGAGAACCAGGCGTTCAACACTGAAGCGTTTCACGCAGCAGGTGGCGCTGCTGCTGGCGGTGGCGCTGCTTCCCGCGGTGTGGCCGGTGGCTTGATCGAGGCACCGGCGAGCACTAACTCAGGAGCTGGAGTAGTGGAAGACTTGTTTGGTGTAGGAGGCGGCGCAGGCCCGGGCGCTATGGTGCCGTACGGCCAGCAGCAGCCTCTGGAAAGCCATCCCCTGCACCTGCATCATCATCATCACGCAGCCCATCAACAGCAGCACCCGACGTACCAGGGCGCTATCGTTCCGTTCCAGCAGCAGCAGCAGCAGCAGGCTGGCGGCAGCGGAGGCACTTCGGTGACGGCATCGAACCCGTTCGATGACCTGCTGGGCGGTGTGTCCACTGCTGTCGGCACCGGGAGTGGTGCCGGAATACTGCAGCAACAATATACACAGCAACCGCACCAGCAGCAGTGGCCTGGACATCCATTTGCCGGATCGTTACAGCAGTACCCGCAGCAGCAACATCATCATCAGCAGCAGCAGAGCTGGCTTGGCCAAGGGGGAGCGGCTCGGAATGGCGATGCTGCTGCTGATGGTGGGCTACAACCGATGCAGTCGCAGTATCCGCCACATCAACAGCAGCTCCAGATCGCCCCCGTTCAGCAGCCGTTTCAGGTGAGATCACCGGCTCGTCAAGCGTCATGTGCAATGTATTTTCATTTTCGTATGCACACTCTTCGTACAATGTATGGTATTGTACTGCTGTACTTCGAAGGACATTACAGCCAATAATAAAATTCCGTGCATGTTGTGTTGGAAAGGAAAACACACAACCCCTTTTGTTCTCTTCCTCCCTCCTCTCTTTTCTTTGGGTTGTTGGAAGTTCCACATTCTTTGGTGCATTCTTCAAATCGAAATTGCACTTTCGAAGTGTCGTCGTACAATCCGTCGCCGCGCCAAGAATCACCGAACTCGTCTGTTGTTGGATGTCGCATCCGTCCGCGACTGCGTCGGGAATGTCCACCAACACGTGCGGCACTTGGCACTTGACTTCACTGATGTACAGGTCTCGCAGTTGCAAGAGGCATGATTTCAACATGTCGACATGGGAGGGATGCGGGATGAAAGCTCACCTAGTCTTGCGTAGGTATGGGTATTGCGATCGGCAGCACCGTCTATGCCCGCACGTTCTGGTTACGTTCACGTTTCCGCACCCTGCGGAACGCCCTGCTTTGGCGCTTGTTTTTGTCACCTAAATAGAGGCCCCGCAAAAACTAAGTTTGGGGGGGGTACCGGGGGCCGAAGACGCTGATTGGTCAACAGGAGAAAAACACGATGAGGCTTTTGCTGCCCAGAAAAGCGGGACTTGGCTATTGGGTGGAGCAATAATAATTGCAAATTGGATTATTTTTTGCTGCATCGAAGTACCCGGGTTGGTCTGCGCCCTTTTTGCACCGCCCATGATGAGCTGATTTCGTGTTGGCGCTACTCCTGACTGGACCGCATGTGGCCACAGGCCGTTCGGCACTCACACGCATCGCCCACTGCCCGCTGCCGGCAAGTGTACTGTGAGCGTGTCATTTTTTCGCGCTGGTTGGGTTGCTGTGGAGGTTGCTTCCCAATATGTGCGATGTCAAAAGCGAACGACCGGTTGTGTGCAGCGGGACAGTCCAAACAAAAATTTGTGAAGCAAACCTGAGGATAAGGCTTGGACCAATGGCACCGCCTGCTGGTGCTTAGCTTCGTGTGTGTGCTGATACATTTTTACAGCTCCTGTGGTGCACGTCGTCTATCGCTTTCCCTGTGTGGTGACCACGTCACCTCACGGCAGCGATCCCGCCGCATTTGGGTGTTGCTGCACCTCGATTGACATTTGGGTATAGCAAAATTACGTTAAAAAGATGCAAGCCCTCTGGCCAAAAAAACAATTAGGTCCATCCAAATTGGGTCCTCAACTCGGGCGCAACTTTTTAACGTTGAAACAGGCCCGAATCCAACAGCCACCCTCGTACATTTTTTTTCTGCTTTTTCGGTGTATGAGAGCGTGGCAAACACACGCGCTAGAAGTACTCTGCGTAAGCCAAGCGTCTTTTCATTGACCAGCCGATCAACGGATTGATGGTAAATAAATACTCCTAAGTACTCATACGCACTCGCGCAAGAGACTGGCGTGCTTTCTGTGTTCATCGCGGTTGACGCTTGTCATACAAAAATATACGTCCGTCGACGCCGAAAATGACAAAGTTCTTCGGGGAGATGATCGTGGAGAGATTTTTGAAAGAATCGCAAGGATGATGATGCTGAAGCTGCAGCAAACCCAATGGGGCAACGAGAACAGAAAAGTCGGATAGCGAGCAACCCACTGGCACACAAGATGAAGATGCTTGTTCAGGAGTGGAAGAAAACGCAGGAGGGATGATGCTACGCGATGGTTTTGAGTCTCCTGCCAAGGGAAAAAAGTCGAGCCCGTTTTCTACCGCGGTGAACTGCCACCATTTGTTGGAAATAGTTTTAGCGGTCCGGAAGGGTTCGCGTTTATGCTCCTTTCTGCCGCGCAACCCCATACCCACCTTCCATTCTTCTGCTGTGCCCCCGGTTGCTCCGTGCTCGGTCGCACTTTGGATGGGGACCAAACAATTTCGTCCACGTGGAAAATGTTGCATCATCATCATCAGCAGCAGCAGCAGCAGCTGCAGACGGTGGCTCCTGGCAACCCTTTCTTTGATGCCGCGCAGGACCTCCCGCAGCAGCAACAGAAGGTGCTAGCTTGGCAGCAGAAACGGTGTCTTGTAAGGGCGGCCCCTTGCTCGGGAAGGAGTATGGCACCGGGCAGCAGCAGCAGCAGTCGTAGTGGTGCATTTCTACTACTATAATAGTCTACTGCGTAGTAGTTTATTTGTATTACTGGCGCAACTGGCATTGGCGGCTTGGGAAGGCAGGGTTGCTCGGTAAGTCGTAAGCGGGGAGGAAGCCTTGCCTCGTGGAACCTGTGGTCGAGAGCACGGTTGCTGTGCAGGCAGCGAGCGAAAGACGAATCCGACAGGTTCGATTTCCTGCTTCGCACGGCTTTATGTGTTGGTGTTGTCGTCAGTTGTTCGCGCGGGTTGTTCAAACTAATTTTTTTGTTTCGTGTTTCCTTGTGACAACCATGTGCTGGGGGGTCTCCGCCTGGCTGCTGTCTGTAGGTCGCCTCACGTTGTGTTGACCCGTCCTCTCCTCTCACCCGCTGAACTTTTTTGGCTTCTATGTCGACCGTATACCCTCTGCTCTGCTCCCTGTCTCTGTGGTGGCTGTTGTGGTTGTTGTTGCTTCTGGTAACCGTTGTTGCGTTCGGCGGCGGCAGGCTCCTGGTGCTAATCTGTTTGGAGACGACCCGTTCGGTTCTGTCAACAGCGGGAGCAAGGTGCGCATGCCGTCACCCATGGTACCTTACCATGTGTCTCTGTTGTTTTCCATGTGCCCAATTGACGGCGTTCCGCTCTTTCTAGGCCAACAGCGGTGCAATAGATGATGGGACACTAGCGCATTGGTCTTCGAAACTGGAGGCAAGAGCATGCAACCAGAACGCCGTTGCCCCTCTTTGGGTCGTTTGAAGGGTGCTCTGCAGCGTTTGCGGAGAGGCCTCTCCTCTTGTTGCCCACCGGCGAGCAAAGCGTTGAGGCGATACCTGGGTATACCAGAGAGGGGNGGGGGGGGGGGGGGGGGGGGGGGGGGGGGGGGGGGGGGGGGGGGGGGCAGGTACTCATTGCCGAGCATGCCGTAGTCGTTCGAGCATTGACCTCGCGTTGGGGAGGGGGGGGAGAGGGAGGGGTCGTCGGAAGAGCTCTTAGCACCACCCCTCTACTTTCTCAAAAGCCCGCGCGTCACATCGCCTCACGCTCAAGTCCTTCCGCACGAATACCCTGTTTTTCATTTTTTTGTCATGGGCCACAGCCGGTACCAAGCGGCGGCGGCGGCGGCGGCGGCAGCAGCAGCGCGGGCGCGATCAGTCCTTTCGACTTGAACGCCGTCGCGGCCGCCGTGCCCGCCGTCAGCGCTGCCGCCGCGACGGGGCGGCGAGTTTCGGGAGGTAGCGCCAGCAGCAGCAGCGCCGGNGGGGGGGGGGGGTCGGCGCAGCAGCAGCAGCAGCAGCAGCAGGACGCGGTACCGGGGGGGCAGGGCCGGCCCACCACTGGCAGCAGCAACAGCAGTGGCGGTAGAGGTCGCGCGCCGCCCTCCACGGCGGGGGAGCTGCCGGCGCGGCTGTCGCGGTCGTCTCGAAGTCGATCCGTCAGGTGATAAAACAACGTGTTTGTTTTTGCTGGTTGTTGTTGGCAAAATCCACCACAGGAAACAGCGAGTGTTTTCTTTATCATTTTGATGACGTCCTTGTGTTTGTTCAAACAACGTATTTCTGCTCCCGTCCCTCAGCCTCAGTGGTGCCACGTACCTGTCGTGACGGGTGTTCCGAGGGAGGAGGATGCAGCATTTGGTTCCTTTTTTTTTGTTCGGGCGAAAGTTCTGTGTGTGCTTCACCTCGTCTCGGCGTAGCTGCTCCTTGAAACGACAATCAACAATAGTCAACAACAACGACAATATTGCCAACGAATTTCCCACCAAATCTAGCAGCAATAACCAACAAGAACGACAACATTCCCGAAACGATTTTAACAACAACAATCAACAACGACAGCGTGCCGCGCGGGACCGCTGCCGAACGAGGGCGAGGGTCGAGGCCGCTGTCGGACGCGGACCCGTTCGGTAGCAATAGCGGCAGGCACGGTGCCCCGCCATCGCAGTCGGCACAGCCGCAGAGACAAGGAGGGCGGGCATCTCGTGGGAGCACGGGGGGGCTGTCTANGGGGGGGGGGGGGGGGGGGGGGGGGGGGCGTACCCATGTTCGGCATGCCTTAGCGGTTAGACCATTGACCACACGGGGAGGGGGAGGGGCGTAATCATGTTCGGCATGCATTGGCGGTTAGACCATCGACCACACGGGGAGGGGGGGGGCGTACTCTTATGTTTTTGCATGCCTTAGTTGTTAGACCATTGACGACGTGTCCTCGAGAGGACGGAGCGTGGTCCCCACAGCACCCATCACCGATAGAAGGGGGATGTCGAAGGGAGTAAAATACACTGGTCGTTGCGATACACGCTACTTGTTTTTAGGGTCCACTTGGCGGCGCAGCTTTTGGTTGCTCTGGTGGGTGTGGTGTCGCATCCCGCGCCTCTTTTTGTGGGCGCTCTCTCGCGACCGTGTTGTCTACCGTGTACTACATGTAGCGCTACTGCCACCGCGGAGTTGTCGACATGTCGGTTGGCTCGCCCTTTTTTGTCGGCGGGGTTTTGCGATGAACATGGTGGCGGCGCGTCCCACACCTCTCCTGCAGAAGTCGAGACAGGCAGATGGGCGGGCAGACAAGATAAACACACTTGACAGATGCATAGAGACGGAGAGTGGTGGACGTAGATTTTTTGCGTGCCAGCGGAATATCTACACCTCCCGTCTGTACCAGAACAGATACAATAGTGTGCTCGTTGGAGACCAATCGTCCGTGTGGCTGCGTCCTCAACGGTAGTAACCCACACACACACACACATCCCTACAGCCGCAAACACGCAAGAATGCGGCTTAGGGTAGATGTGAAGCGTGTGTAGCACGCTCATATCGAGAGCCCTTCTGTGGAGAATGATTGGGGGTCACCGGTCAGAAGCGTGGGAGCGGTAGCCACCCGGCTCCGAACGGATGTTTCGCGTGCAGTTGGTCCGCGACTCTGTGGGAAAATGTAACAAGTAACCGGGTGCTGATTTCGGCTTGGTCCTCTTCTCTCTTATTGTCTTCTACAGGGTATGCTTTTCTGTACCCCCATTTTTTTCTTGGCGTGTAACCCCGGAAAGATGTCGTCGGCGAAAGTCGGACTACCGGCGTGGGCGTCACCAGGTCCTGTGCAGAGATCGTAATTGTTCCTTAGGGTGTGACCACCCACAAGGAACAACGGCCCTCTTCGTTTCTTGCAGTGTATGTGTTCCCACCCCAAACTTTGGGGAAGGGGTTCAAATGTACGCCCACGGATTACCGTCATTCGTGGTGCGGACAAAATCCGGCTGTGCTTTGGGCAGAGGTCGGAATGAACATCCAGGACGACCATACCCCTTCCCTCCCTACCTCCCTCCCTCCCTCCCAATCGTTGCGTTAGACCTCCCGGCGAGGGACGGGAAGAGGGGGCGGCGCCGGCGCCGGCGCCGGTGGAGGCGACTTCGAAGGAGATTCCGGGATGATGAGGACGGCTTCGGGGGGGTCGTTGCGAGGAGTCGGGGGCAACGCGTCTCGCAACCAGCGGCAGCAGCAGCACAGGGGGAGGGACCCTTGCGATGACACCTACGACGACGAGGACGACGACGAGAGAGAAAGGGACAACGATGACGACGACGACGACGACGACACGGGCTTCGACTCGGACACCATGAGCGTGATGGATCAGGACGCCATCCGAGCTTCCATGAGGAAGAGAGGCGCCAGGGCGACGGCGGGGGCGGGGGGGAGGCGCGGCGACACCGTCGAGTACATCGTGGAGTTCGANGGGGGGGGGGGGGGGGGGGGGGGGGGGGGGGGGGGGGGGGGGGGGGGGGGGGGGGGGGGGATGCCCGTTGCCTTGTGTGATGGTGATTATATTTGTGAATGTCGTTTGTATTTTGAACTTTCTCTGCGCGCGACCTCCGGGCTTGAATATATGTTATCTGTATTCGGTTGTCGCATGTTCGTCTCTAGCCCTGGCCTAATAACTTGCTGGTATCTGCTTTGCGTTTGTGATGTGTTTGGTACGAACGAGCTGTGATTTTGTTCGTACCGTCGGGTATTGGTGGTGGTTGCGTCTGTGGAGGCGGTCGCTTCAGCGATGCCCGTGCACGTTTTGTTCTGTGTGCACTGCGTTGTTTTGCTTTTGTCGTGTCAGGCAGGTGTGTGTATATATATATGTATCTTTCCTTTTATTTGTTGCTTTTCCTTCGCTGTCTCTCTCCAGCGCGAGTGCAACCCCACTCATTCGCCATCCTGTCTTGGTTTTGGTTTGGCGTCGCTTCATGCTCGTCAAGTTGATCCGACGATGTTCTTTTCTCCCCCATCCCTTCCTCCCCAGAGAGCAAGGAAGCTGGGCATGCTGTTGGAGCGGCACGACGAGTGGCCCGATGGAAGGGAGAAGCGGTCGGAGCGAGCGATTGTGAAGATGGTTGTCGACAGCGGCCCAGCGCAGGTGGGTGGATTCTTTGTACCCCCTGTCCCCCTCGTGGAGGAACGATTGGCCATCGGTGACCGGTCCTGCAAGAACAATGCTCCGTCCTCTCGAGGATGCGTGGTCAATGGCCTAAGCGCCAGGGCATAAGAGTACGCCCCCCCCCCCCCCCCCC